AAAGCTCTGGCTCTGTCTTACAGCTCCAGCTCCTGCACAGTTGTGATGAGAGATGCTGCTGCTGCTCAGTGCAGGTGATTTCAATTCCAGTTACTGAACACTCCAGCTTCTTATAGCTTTGGCTTGTGTTCAGTTGAAGGTGATTTCAGGTCCAGCTTGTTGAAACTCCGTTTTTGTGTAGCAGTTCTGGCTTGCTACAGATCCAGCTGATAGACATAGGCTTATTTTCATTTCTAGCTCATTCCAGCTCCACTTTGTTGAAGCTCTACCTCCAGTACTGGATGCTCAGAAAAAGAGTTTCTCCTGCTTCTTCCAGTATCTGTTGATGGACATTTTCCAGCATGTTACTGCTCAAGTTATTTGAAGTCATAGGTTAGTTCAGCTCCTGTTTCTTGAAACTCCAGCTCTACACAGCACCTCTGGCCACTGGCCAGAGGAGTGGGAACACTGGTGGGACAATGTTTTTTTGGGAGGGCACAGGTACTTCCTTTGGGAAACCAAAGGTTCTCAAATCCCCACACCCACTGCCTTCCCAAAAACACTGCCGTGGGCCTCCTGGGAATCAGGAGAAACCAGGATCTGAGGTTCTAGTGACTAATGCAGGCACTCAATTCATTTAATGGAATATAAAAGCCAGGCCAGCACCCCATTGACCCCATGGATCTCATCATAAGCTCTTTGGCAGTGCTGGCTGCAAATATATGCTCTGTATCCATGGGCAGGCAAGAGCAACATCATCTTCTGTCAATTCCCTTGGATGCAGAAGATAAAAGCTCTTTTTAGACAGCCTGTCAGACAGTTATCATCTCCTGCCTGAAAGCTTGTTTGGGTTTGGATTTATTCTAGGCTAGTTCCTGCAGAAAATACTGTTCTGTGCTTGCTGGCCAGCCAGGACTGGAGGCAGAGAGAGATGTGTGAATGGATGTCCACGTTTCCAGCTGGCAGCAAACACAAAGCCCAACCAGTGTGCAAGTGGCTGAGCAGACAGTGCAGGAGCCATGGCATGCATGACAGGCGCCGGATCAGCTCATGTATGAGCACACCATAGCTTTACTCATGAACAGCTTTACTCATGAACAGCCCATGACACTATGAACAACATCCCATCAATTCACACGTGAATGTCCTAAAACTTCATTCATTAGTGCCTCATTAGCTTATGCATGAGTGCCAAATTTATTCAGACCCCAGCATCCAATCACTTCATGCACAAGCACTCAATCTATTGACAAACAAGCCTGAGACAGCTCGCATGAACATCCAATTAATTCATGCCCCAGTGCTCAATCAGCTCACACAGGAGCAGCTATTTCTCATGCACCCACAGCACATGCATGACTGCTGTGCTGGGCAGAAATTGCAGGATTCAGGTCAGTGATGCCATATTCCCACCCTCTGGCACTTCTTGCTGCAGATGCTTCTCCACTGAAAATTGGCTCTTTTCAGGAGCATCAGAACTACATTAAAGGTCTCTTGTGCTTGCCCAGAGGTGTACAAGGAATCCTCCTCTTTCCCCAGAGCACTGAAGGGCTGAGGAGCATGGGCTAGAGCAGGGGCCAGCACATCTGCCCAGCCCTGGGAAGAGGCAGAGTGCCCAGCACCCGACTTTGTCTATCAGAGTCCAGCACTGCCCCCATCTCTGCCTTTGCTTTCTTCAAGGGTTGTACCAGAGACACAATTTCTCACTATGAGGTAAAAGAATGCTAGTTTTTCCTTACTAAAAAGGTTAAAGTAAGCTACAGAGTGAAGTCACTTTTTGAAGATTATTTGGTTGTGAATCTCTATCCACAACCCCACACTGTTTTGTAAGAAAATGAGGACATTTTCTCAGAATGCTTTGCTACTCAGTCACAAACCCACAGCTTTAAGAGAGAACTGACTGTAATTCTTAACAAGGCATGAATTTCAATGGTCATCTATGAGAAAACTATCCACAGAACAAAATCCTGAAAATAACATTTACAGGCCTTTTGCAGAAAACACATTTGTGTGAGTACATTATCACCTGGCTGCTCCAGTACTGGGATAATGGGATGAAGAACATGGAATTAGAAGGCAGGGAAGCCAAGCTGCTGGGATCACTGGCTGAGATCATCAGCCTGACCAAAACATGCTGCCTGTAACACTGAAACTCTCCCATTCCTCCAACAAGGAAAAATACAAGTTCTATCTCTATGTACAAAGGTTGCAAAGACTATCTTACCTTACAGAAGATGTGCAGGGAACTGTGCCAATTAACTTCAAGCACAACGTTTACAAGTACTTATGTGATAAGATGCTTGAAGTGAAAACCAGCCCTGGGCTTCCAGAGGCGTAGCACAGAGCAGTGGCAATCCCAGCTCAGCTACCCTTTTGCACTGTTCCTAAGCCAAGGCAGCATGATGAGAGACCATTTGCCAAGGGGAACTGGTTTCAGCCAATTCTCAGCCTGGCTGAGAAACTGCAAATTCCAATTTACAAGACTGAAACTCCAAGGTCACTAGAAAAACATTCCTCCTCA